CTCCTGCCTTTACACGCACATGAACTTTAATGGCATCCCAGTCTTAGTCTGTAGGGTTCAATATTGAGTTTATCCACCCTTTGCAGCTATTACAGCTTCAACTCTTCTGGGAAGACTGTCCACAAGGTTTTAGGAGTGTGTCTATGGGAAGGTTTGACCATTCTTCCAGAAGCGCATTTGTAAGGTCAAGCACTGATGTCGGATGAGAAAGTCTGGCTCGCAGTCTCCACTCTAATTCATCCCAAAGGTACTCTATTGAGGTTAGGACTCGCTCATCCATGTCTTTATTGACCTTGCTTTGTGGACTGGTGCACAGTCATGTTGAAACTGTTCCTACAAAGTTGGGAGCATGAAATTGTCCAAAATGTCTTCGTATGCTGACGCCTTAAGAGTTCCCTTCACTGGAACTATGGGGCCAAGCCCAACCCTTGAAAAACAACCCCACATCATAATCCCCCCTTCACCAAACTTTACACTTGGCACAATGTAGTCAGGCAAGTACCATTCTCCTGGCAACTACCAATCCCAGACACTTCCATCGAATTGCCAGACATAGAAGTGTGATTTGTCACTCCAGAGAACACATTTCCTCTGCTGTACAGTCCAGTGGTGGCATGCTTTACACCGATGCTTTGCATTGCACTTGGTGATAAAAGGCTTGAATGCAGCTGCCCGGCCATGGAAACCCATTCCATTAAGCTCTGTATGCACTGTTGTGCTAATCTGAAGGCCACATGAAGTTTGGAGGTCTTTTGCTATTGACTCTGCAGACAGTTGGCTGTTTCTGCTCACTGTGCGCTTCAGCATTTGCTGAAGTCGCTCTGTCATTTTTCATGGCTTACCACTAGGTGGCTGAATTTCTGCTGTTCCCAATTGCTTCCACTTTGTTATAATACCACTAACAGTTGACTGTGGAATATTTAGTAGCAAGGAAATTTCAGATGGACTTATTGCACAGGTGGCAACCTATCAACCTAAATAAATGTGAATTGGTGTTGTGCTACTTAATAAATAGGTAAATAAATATAGAATTGTGTGCAGAGTGGACTTAAATGCTAAAGGAACAAGTGTGGAAGCAATGATGAGTGTAACAAATAACAACAGGGGTAAAAATGTGGCCAAAAATGGTAAATGTATACATTATTAAGGTGTGCACTAATTAATAAACAATAAACGTAGAATAAAAAATGTGCAGAGTGGAAATATAACCCAGGTACTTTAATATAATAAATGCTATAGAAGCAACAAGTGTGGAAGCAATGATGAGTGTAACAAATAGCAACAGTGGTAAAAGATAATTGCACACAATAATAAGATGTGAACCATCAAGTGAATAAGTGGTCAATAAATAAATACAATTATGTATATTATATATATATAGATATACAGTATATTTATATCTATATATATATATATAGAGAGAGAGATATATATATTACAGACAAATTAATAAATAGTCCCAAAAACAACAAAACCAGTGAATCTTCAACACAAGCTGTGGGACATCCGTGATCACTGCAAACGGGCAATCCTTCACCAGCTAGTGTGCACGCTCACCTTCCAACTGCGACCCAAAAGGGGTCAAAAGGCATATACACAGACCGATTATCTTAATCAAGATGAATCTCAGTAGTAAGCAAACCAAGGACTCTCCATGGCAAGCACACCCAGGCGTAACTCAGATGTCCTTAATAAGGGCATGACCATAGATCTCTTTCTCCTCCAATATTCTCACATGAAGGATCAAGCAAGAGAACTTCCCATAGTGTAGCAAGTTCAAATTAATTTTATTGTAAAAAATGCACAGAGAACCTACTCACATGTAAAAATGGGGTCCGCAGACCCATACAGGCACTCACTGCAACAAGACTGCAAGGAGTATGTGGTTGGTAGTACCAGCTGCTGTCCATACCAGAAATGACGTCACCACACGTCCGTCCTACATGTTATGTCACAAGTCACGTAACTTCATCAGGGCTCCAGAGTGACCCATTCTTTCACAAATGTTTGTAGAAGCAGTCTGCAAGCCTAGGTGCTTGATTTTATACACCTGTGGCCATGGAGGTGATTGGAACACCTGAATCCAATGATTTGGAGGGGTGTCCAAATACTTTTGGCAATATAGTGTAGCTCCCTGCCTATCATCCAGAAACAGCTGCAGTCTCCTGGATACAGAGGAAGCTAGCCAGACCAGCAGAACCCAAGCACACAAAGCAGACCTCACTAGATGATCACTCAGCTCACTCAGTATAGTGAGCTGACTATACTTGTACCTAGAAGAAATTACAGTCAAATTATTCTGCCTAGTAACAAATAGGTTTACCTATTTTTTTTTTTTTTTCAGGTACTTATATAGCACCGTCAATTTACACAGCGCTTTAAATATATAGTGTACATTCACATCAGTCCCTAACCCTCAAGGGGCGTACAATCTAAAGTCTCTAATTCACATTCATACATACACATACTAGGGACAATTTTAGACAGGAGCCAATTAATCTACCAGCATGTCTTTGGAGCATGAATTTGTATAGATTGTATTGTATATATATCAGTCACCTGCTCTTCCTGGCTATATATATTGACCAGGAGTAGTACATGTACACACACAGATATATGCATCCTTTTAACAATGCAAGTCCTTCATGCAGGAACTCTTTGTAGCCCAGTTTCCCTGAATTCTTTGTATATGGATTGGTGAAGGATTGTATGTTTTCTATCTTCCAATCTCTCCCTCTTTACAGATAGACATACCCCCTTTGCTTTAGGTCATTGGGCCTGGTGGATACGTGGAAATGGCATCACCCAAACTCTTGTCAATTCCTGACATTTCCGCAACCACTCCACACTCTTTCCTGCAATTCTTGGCATATTTCGTTCTTATGTCAATGCTACTCTACTTTTCAGAAAACAGAGAGGATGCCCTACCAATTTTGGTAGAGTTTGGTCCTTCTGGTTGCAGGTTAACATTTAAGACCATATGCTCATACCTTGTATTGTTATTCACTGCTCAAAAAATTAAAGGTACACTTTTTAATCAGAGTGTAGCATCAAGTCAATTAAACTCTTGGAATATGATATGATCCCAAAAACAGAAAGGGGCCACTGACGTTTTTTCCCCTACTTATCTTTTCTGACTGTTTCTCACTTGTTTTGAATTTGGGTAGGATGAGTGTCACTAATGGTAGCATGATGTAATACCTTGACCCTACAGAGGTTGCACAGGCAGTCCAACTCCTCCAGGGTGGCACATCAATATGTGCCATTGCCAGAAAGTTTGCTGTGTCTCCCAGCACAGTCTCAAGAGCATGGAGGATATTCCATGAGACAGGCAGTTACTCAAGGAGAGCTGGACAGGGCCGTAGAAGGTCCTTAACCCATCAGCAGGACTGGTATCTGCTCCTTTGTGCAAGGAGGAACAGGATGAGAACTGCCAGAGCCCTACAAAATAACCTCCAGCAGGCCACTGGTGTGAATGTCACTGACCAAACAATCAGAAACAGACTTCATGAGGGTGGCTTGAGGGTCCAACGTCCTCTAGTGGGCCCTGTGCTCACTGCCCGGCACCACAGAGCATGATTGGCATTTGCCATTGAATACAAGAATTGGCAGGTCCACCACTGGTGCCCTGTGCTTTTCATAGATGAGGCTTACCCTGAACATATGTGACAGACGTGAAAAGATCTGGAGAAGCCGTGGAGAATGTTTGCTGCCTGTATGCAGACAGTTACTGGAGGATGAAGGAACTGATACCTTGGAATGGCCCCCACGCTCTGACCTAAATCCAATATAACACATCTGGGATATCATGTTTCAGTCCATCCAATGGTGCCAGGTTGCACCTCAGTCTGCCCAGGAGCTCAGTGATGCCCTGGTCCAGAAATACCCCAGGGCACCATCCGTCATCTCATTAGGAGCATGCCCCAACATTGTCAGGCATGCATACAAGCACGTGGGGGCCATACAAACTACTGAGTGCCATTTTGAGTTGCTACAATGGAATTTCAGCAAAATGGACTGGACTGCTGCATCATTTTTTCAGTTTGATTTTTGGGGTGTCTTTGAATTCAGTCCTCTGTAGGCAGATAATTTTCATTTCCATCATTACCCAATCCATGTCAGTATAGATATCCAGCATGATATTTTTCCCCATTGAGATCTTGTCAGGGACCTCAAATCTGGCCACGATCGCGCACGGGTCTGCGCATGCGCGGTATGCCCAGCCCGCACTAGCAAGCATTGGGACCTGGGCACCCGCGACGGCAGCGGCAGTCACGCATGCACACAATCGCGGATGCGCAGCTGGCACCAATCAGGGCGCAGGGCAAAACAGGACAGGTCTGTGTTCTAATTGCCGTATGGTCTTACCTGTATCCTGTGTTTCCTGTATTGAGATTGCCCTGCTTGACCCTGATTTGCTGATTGTCTCCTGTTCTGATCCCTGGCTTGTCTGACCATTCTCCTGTTTAATCCTGCACGTTCTGATCTTCTGTGACCCATTTATCCTTCTGTCTTCTGTTTTGGTACCATTCTGCCTCCACCGTTACCGACCTGGCCTGCCCGACTCTGCTCTCGCTACCTCCTCACATCAGGCTCTCACCTGCTATACACCTCCGGTGGTGCTTCTACCACTGCTGGGTGAACCCAGGGGTCGCGACCTGGTCTCGGCCTGCTCCAAGTTCATCCCCACCATCAGGGGCCCTGGTGAACAAGCAGGTTGGGACTTAGATTCCTTGGGGGATTCCGGTCTGTGGAACGCTAGAGGCTACCGCCGGCAGGGACATAAAAGATCTGATGAGTTTTCAAAGTGTTCCTTTAATTTTTTTGAGTAGTGTATTTACACTATATTGCCAAATGTATTGGGACACCCCTCCAAATCATTAGATTTGGGTGTTCCAATCATCTCCATGGCCACAGGTGTATAAAATGAGGCACCTAGGCATGCAGGCTGTTTCTACAAATATTTGTGAAAGAATGGGTTACTCTCAGGAGCTCAGTGCAATATGTCCATCCGTGAAATTTCCTTGTTACTAAATATTCCACAGTCAACTGTTAGTGGTATTGTAACAAAGTTGAAGGAACTGGGAACAACAGCAACTCAGCCACCAAGTGGTAGGCAACGTAAAATGACAGAGCGGGGTCAGCACATGTTGAAGCGCACAGTGCACAGAAGTAGACAACTGTCTGCAAAGTCAGTAGCTAAAGACCTCCAATCTTCATGTGGCCTTTAGATTAGTGCAACAACGGTGCATAGAGACTTCATGGAATAGGTTTCCATGGCCGAGTAGCTGCATTCAAGCCTTACATCAGCAAGTGCAATGCAAGGTGTCAGATGCGGTGGTGTAAAGCATGCCGGCACTGGACTCTAGGCAGTAGAGATGTGATCTCTGGAGTGACGAATGCTTCTCTGTCTGGCAATCCAATGGACGTATCTGGTTTTGGCAGTTGCCAGGAGAACAGGAGAACAGTATTTGTCTGACTGCATTGTGCCAAGTGTAAAATTTGGTGGAGGGGGGATTATGGTGTGGAGTTATTTTTCAGGGGTTGGGCTTGGCCCCTTAGTTCCAGTGAAGGGAACTCTTAAGGCATCAGCAAACTAAGACATTTTGGACAATTTCATGCTCCCAACTTTGTGGAACAGTTTGGGGATGGCCCCTTCCTGTTCCAACATGACTGCGCACCAGTGCACAAAGCAAGGTACATAAAGACATGGAAGAGCGAATTTGGGATGGAGGAACTTGACTGTCTTGACCTCAACCTGATAGAACACCTTTGGGATGAATTAGAGTGAAGACTGCGAGTCAGGCCTTTTCGTCCGACATCAGTGCCTGACCTTACAAATGGCGTACTGGAAGAATGGTCAAACATTCCCATAGACACATTCCTCCTAAACCTTGTGGACAGCCTTCTCAGAAGAGTTGAAGCTGTTATAGCTGCAAAGAGTGGGCCAACTCAATATTGAACCCTACAGACTAAGACTGGGATGCCATTAAAGTTTATGTGCGTGTAAAGGCAGGCGTCCCAATACTTTTGGCATTATAGTATATACAATTTTAGGTTTTTCAGGTATTTACCAAAACGTATTCAAGCTATAGTTATATAAAGGATATGGGCTGAAAGTGCACACTCTCAGGTTTAATTTGAGGGTATGTACATTCAAATTGGAGGAAGGGTATAGGAATTACAGCTCTTAAAAGTAGCCATCCCCCTTTTTCAAGGGACCAAAAGTAGTTGGACAATTGAATCAAAAGTTGTGGGCTACTCCTTCATTATTTCTTCATCAATTAAACAGGTAAAAGGTCTGGAGTTTATTCTAAGTGCTGCATTTGCATTTGGAATCTATTGCTGTGAACCTACATCATGTGTTCAAAGGAGCTGTCCATGCAAGTGAAACAGGCCATTGTAAAGCTTCAAAAATGAAACAAATCCATCAGAGAGATGGCAGCAACATTAGGAGTGGACAAATCAACAGTTTGGTACATTCTGAGGAAAGAAGAACGCAATGGTGAGCTAAGCAACATAAAAAGGCAAGGACATCCACGGAAGACAACAGTGGTGGATGATTGCAGGATCCTCTCTATAGTAAAGAAAAACCCATTCACAACATCCAGACAAGTGAAAGACACTCTCCAGGAGGAGGCCATATCATTGTCAAAGTCTACAATCCAGAGAAGACTTCACGAGAGCAAATACAGAGGGTTCACCACAAGGTGCAAACCATTCATACGCCTGAAGAATAGAAAAGCCAGATTAGACTTTGCCAAAAAACATCTAAAAAAGCCAGACCAGTTCTGGAAAATTTTTGGTAAATCCTCCTGCACTGCTATGCCTGAAAAAACACACACAGCTGCTAACATCCAATCCTCCCCTTTAGGCTACGTTCACACTAGCCTTGTGTGCAGGCGGCAGAGAGGCGTTTGGGAAGCGTTTTTACTGCTTCCCAAACGCCTCTGCCAATTCTGCACATTACAGCACATGGTGCTGTTCTAACGGGAGCGTTTGCATCGCGTCGCGTTGCGTCGCGGCAAAACAGACGCCTCTGGTCGAGTCAGGAGGCTTTGAAGCCTCCTATTCTCGTCTATGGTGCCGCTCCGCAAACGCCCGGCCGGCGTTTGCGGTGCGGTTGCGACGCGGTTGCGGGGCGTTTGCGGAGCAGTAACACCACTCAAACTGTATTATAGGCATTTGTGGGGATTAACGCTCGGAAAACGCCTAGCAACCGCCACTAAACTGCGCATGTGACGTTTGCAGAGCATTTGTGGAGCGTTTGCCGAGCGTTAAAAAATGCTCCACAAATGCCGGACCAACGCTTGCCAAACGCTATAGGGGCATTTGGCAAGCGTTGGTAAAACAGCCAAGTGTGAACGAGCCCTAAGACGGACAAAAGTATTATGGTATAAAAGTGATGTAGCGCTATACATAAAACCTGTACCTTTAGTGTAAATTATTATAGTGATACAAGATAATACATATTCAAGTGACAGTTGTAAGTGATTAGTGCAATAAATATTACCAAAATAAAGTGGCACACAGTGATTCCCTATGCAGGAAAAAAACCACCATATACAGGTGAAATTAAAATTGATATCCACATCAACCAGTGATTTCACATATAGATGGCACACATAATTCTTCTAAGGCATGCTCCTATGTTGGTGCAGGTGGTGAGAGATATCCTAAATGGCAGGCGTGCCCACTCACCTTACCCCTGCGACCCACAGGGGCCACAACGCTTTATGGGTCTCCCAGGATCCTGTATGCTCCTTTCCTGGATACAGATAGCTCCACCAATCTCAGTAGCCTTAACTCCACCTTCTGTTTATTTCTCATAGACAGACGGTACTGTATACACCCTTATACACTCGTGGTATCGAGATCATGCAACAGAAACACAAAGATCCTCCATAGTGTAAAACTGCATACTAGATTTAATATAGATAAAACCGCCAAGTACAAACTCACAATTTCCAGGGAAGAAAATTCGCAGCGTGTATCACCTCTCTAGGGTGTACTGAAAGCACTCTGGTGTAGCAAGATGGCGCTGGACCGGAAGTGCATCACCACGTCGCTTCTACGCGTTATGCCATGCCCCTCGTAGCTTTGTCCTGTTGCATGATCTCGATAACACGAATGTATAAGGGTATATACAGTACCGTCTGTCTATGAGAAATAACTGAAGGTGGAGTTAAGGCTACTGAGATTGGTTGAGCTATCTGTATCCAGGAAAGGAGCATACAGGATCCTGGGAGACCCATAAAGCGTTGTGGCCCCTGTGGTTCGCAGGGGGAAGGTGAGCGGGCACACCTGCCATTTAGGATATCTCTCACCACCTGCAAAAACATAGGAGCATGCCTTAGAAGAATTATGTGTGCCATCTATATGCGAAATCACTGGTTGATGTGGATATCAGTTTTATGTATATGGTGGTTTTTTTTCCTGCATAGGGAATCACTGTGTGCCACTTTATTTTGGAAATATGTATTGCACTAATCACTTACAACTGTCACTTGAATAGATTTATGTATTATCTTGTATCACTATAATAATTTACACTAAAGGTACAGGTTTTATGTATAGTTCTGGAAAAGCATTCTTTGGACGGATGAAACTAAGATTAATCTGTATCAAAATGATGGGAAGAAAAAGTGTGGAGAAGGCTTGGAACAGCTCATGATCCAAAGCTCACAACCATCTGTGAAACATGGTGGAGGCAGTGGGATGGCATGGGCATGCATGGCTTCCAGTGCCCTGGTTTATTTGTGTTTATTGATGATGTGACAGAAGACAGAAGCAGCCGGGTGAATTCTGCAGTGTTTAGCGATATACCGTCAGCCCAGATTCAGCCAAATGCAGCAAAGTTGATTGGACGGCCTTCACAGTACAGATGGACAATGATCCAAAACATACTGCAAAAGCAACCCAGGAGCTTTTGAAGGAAGAGAAATGGAATATTCTGCAATGGCCGAGTCAATCACCTGATCTCAAACCAATTGAGCATGCATTTCACTTGCTGAAGGCAAAACTAAAGGCAATAAGACCCACAAACAAAGAACAACTGAAGACAGCTGCAGTTAAAGCCTGGCAAAGCATCAGAAAGGAAGAAACCCAGTCTTTGGTAATGTCCAAGGGTTCCAGACTTCAGACAGTCATTGCCAGTAAAGGTTTCTCAACAAAATCTAAAAAATTTACATTTTAACATTTTATTTATTTATGTATTTATTTCAGGTATTTATATAGCGCCCTCAATTTACTCAGCGCTTTACATACTCAGTTTACTGAGTGCTGTACTCAATTTACTCAGCGCTGTACATTCACATCAGTCCCTAACTCTCAAGGGGCATACAATCTAAGATCCCTAACTTACATTCATACATACACATACTAGGGCCAGTTTAGACAGGATCCAATTAATCTACCAGCATGTCTTTTGGAGTGTGCGAGGAATCCAGAGTACCCGGAGGAAACCCATGCAGGCACAGGGAGAACATGCAAACTCCAAGCAGGATGATGTATGATTATATTCATTTGTCCAATTACATTTGAGCCCCTGAAAATGGAGGGACTGTGTATAAAAATGGTTGCAATTCCTAAAAATTTGTACTTGATATTTATGTTCAACCCCTTGAATTAAAGCTGAAATTCTGCACTTCAAATTCATTTGGATTGTTTCATTTTAATTTATACTGGTGGCATAAAAGGAAAAAGTATGAAAATACTTTATGCCTGTGTCCAAATATACAGGTGAAACTCAAAAAATTAGAATATCGTGCAAAAGTTCATTTATTTCAGTAATGCAACTTAAAAGGTGAAACTAATATAAGAGATAGACTCATTACATGCAAAGCAAGATAGTTCAAGTCGTGATTTGTCATAATTGTGATGATTATGGCTTACAGCACATGAAAAACCCCAAATCCACAAGCTCAGAAAATTAGAATATTGTGAAAAGGTGCAATATTCTAGGCTCAAAGTGTCCCACTCTAATCAGCTAATTAAGCCATAACACCTGCAAAGGGTTCCTGAGCCTTTAAATGGTGTCTCAGTCGGGTTCAGTAGGAATCACAATCATGGGAAAGACTGCTGACCTGACAGTTGTGCAGAAAACTATCTTTGACACCCTCGGTAAGGAGGGAAAGCCTCAAAAGGTAATTGCAAAAGAAGTTGGATGTTCACAAAGTGCTGTATCAAAGAAAGTTATGTGGAAGGGAAAAGTGTGGAAGAAAAAGGTGCACAAGCAGCAGGGATAACCGCAGCCTGGAGAGGATTGTCAGGAAAAGACCATTCAAAAGTGTTGGGGACTTTCACAAGGAGTGAAACTGAGGCTGGAGTCAGTGCATCAAGAGCCACCACACACAGATGGATCCTGGAC